CGCTGCGCGCTCCCCCGCCGGGCCGCCACCGCCCTCCTGCCGCCTCCTCCTCCGCTACCTTCCCCAAGCGGCCACTGAGCAGCCCCTTCCTCCCCGCCCCACGCAGCCGCCCCTCTGTTAACAGCCAAGGCCCCCTCCACTGCCCGGGCCGCCGCAGGCCGGCACTTGCGCAACAAAGAACGTTGGCAAAGATGACGGAAAACTTAACAGCCACGAGTAAGTCACTGCATGAGTCACCCTACACACCATTTCTCAGCCAGAAAAGACAACACCTGCAATCAGCCATTCATCTCCCCTCTCCCACCGCTATTCCCCCTCAGGGGGTACCAGAGTTTTGTGAATAAGAGATTTCCAGCAGGGGCATGAATGACATCAATCACCCTTCGGCAGCCAGAGGGGGAAAGAGCAGCCTCCGCCCCGCGGCAGCATGCGAGGTGCCCAAGGACAGTCCCACAGCGACACACATTCGCCCAGCGTTCAGGCCATACAATCTCCACAGATGCTCTGAAGCACACCTGGACAGCAGCGGCTTTCCCAGCTCTTACAGTTACACAAAGCAACAATGTCCGTATCACAGAGAAAAAGGCCTAGCAATGCTTTCTTTTTTAATACACAACAAAACAAAATGGTTTTTAATAAACATTTATTGATGCAACCTTGTTACACCTTTAGAATCGCAGCTTCTGGAAGAACCACTTATTCTTGCCCGTCTTGTATCTGAAAGAGGAACACAAAGGTTAGAGAACACTCTGTACCAGCAGGCAACAGCACAAGACCCGCACCAGAGCTGACCCTATCCTCCCACCAGCAAGTCATAGTGTCTGGCTTACCCAAAGGTAATTCACCTCATCTCTTCAGCCCGGGCTGCAACTAGACTCGCTTTATTTAAACTGCCATGGGAAACGAATGTCAGCTTCCAGATTTCCTCATGAAGCCATCTTGTGAAGGACACCCACACTACAGTGGTTTCCAGCCCAAGAGTAAGAGAGCAGTGTGGGGCAGCCCCACTAGACATCTCACATGGAGGATGCAATCAGGACATGCACTCAAACAGCCTACGATCATGGGCAGAGCGCTTTAAAAGAGCCAACACGCTGGGATGCCTGCAAGACACCCTGCATCCTGCTGAGGTTACACAGTTCCTTCTGCTGAAGGAGTTTCTGAACAGAAAACCAAAATGAAGGACTGTTAACCCAAACGCTCCTGAGCAAAGCAGCAGCGTTGCCCTGTACCACTAAACCCAGTGACAGACAGCAGATGAACTTGCAGTGCGATGCCAAAAGATCGTCACCTAGCACCTGAAAGGCCCTGCTCGTGCTGGCATGAGGCTACAACATCATCATAAATGTCAGCCCAAGTCTACAGCTATTGCTAAACTGTTCCACATCTCAACCCACCAACTCCCTGAATAGACTGTTGCATAAACATGTAGAGAAGGTGAGGACGAATGTACTCAACCAAAAACATATTCAAGAAAGTTGAGGCAGAAGCATCCAACTTGGGACTCACCTAGGCTGTGGCACAACCACACCGAGACCTCACACGAGGGATAGGTACTGACATCACCGAAGAGACAAGCTTCCAACTCACCTTTCCTCAAATTTCACCTTGGCTTCACGTCTCGCTTTGCGTTTTAGAGCAGGGTCCCTGAACACATCCTTATTGACTACTGTTTTGTCCAGCGGAATATCAACAGAATACCTGTGCAAGAGAGCACTAAGGTTTGAAACAAGTATTTTACCTGGCACAAGGGTGAAAACAGAGCAGGCAGCCCAAACTGGTCAAATATGTGTGCCAAGTGCCAGGTTAAAGGACTACAGCTCTTAAAGCCTTCTCAGTTCTGGAAATCCCAAAGCACTACAGCATCCAAAGACATTTTCTATAAAGGAAACAGCTACACATTTCACAAGAGACAAGCAGCTCCATCCAGCACGTTGTATTTGGCAGCCTGCACCAGCAGGAGCTCCAAGGGGACAGGAAGAAACATCACTGGGCCATAACAGCTCTGCCAGCACCCCAGAGCCTCATGATTGTTTCAAAGGTTCATCCACTGACACTCCATGATCAAGAGGAAAATGAGTGTGGCTGAAATAAGAGTCAGCTACCTTATTTCAGAAGTTCACTAGTATCTCCCCTCAGCCTCACACCCCCAAGTCCCTGTTTTTGCAGCGTATGTCCCACTTTTGTTCAGACACGTAATTAAGAACCTCGGTGACTCTCAGCATTCACCAGAGGGAACACATGAGAACTACGATCACTGAAAGCAGACAAGACTTCTCTGGCCCTGCCAGCAGCAGACTGCAGCCCCGCTGGCCGCACTCCGGTAGCTACACTTACCGGGTGGGCATCAGGTGGTTGTAGTTGTAGACTTTGACGAAGGACTTGATCTTAGACCTCTTTGCGATCTTCTTCTTGCCCATCGCGGCAGTCACCTTCCGCGGGTAGCGGTCGATGCCTGCCACCAAGGCGTGGCTGTATGGCCGGTCGGAAGTGCCATCATCGATGTTCTGAAACACACCAACCGCAGTCGGCGACGGCACC